TTTTCTCATTCTTGATTGTAAAGAAATGGATTCCAATTAGATTGTTGTAGACTTATTTGCTTATAACGTGATTGCAACTAAGATTCAAGTATAAATGATAAGAGAAATCTTCTTTACAAAGAGTGTATCAAATCAACAAAATAAATGTCTATATGTAATCAGAGACAATAATGAACATAGAGCAAACATATCCCAATAACTTTTCATCAGAATATTATTCTATGTTCATGTGTTTGAACATGAACTTCATCATGAGTATAACATACACGTAATTGAAAATGAAAAAACGTAATGACTTTTACAAAGAGAGATTGTCAACCAAGAAGAATGTATGTTTGTATAATTTTATAGATAAATGTTCCTAGTGCCATTATACTTAGTATGATTTAGAACAAAAAATTCTTTCTAAATGTGTATGCATCATGAGAAATAGTCCAATTATATATTATAGAGTTATAATTTATTATCACTCATTGAGTATGCAAAAATTGTTTCGAAAAAACTCTATCAAAAGACGATGTAGAATTATTTAATTCGTCTGCTACATGAAAATTTATATGCATGCATGGTGGACAAGAACTGAAATCGCGTACACTTCACAAATCTGTAATAGTCACTCAACAAAAGGAGCCGTATTTGCTAAGTATTGAACAATTGAGTCAATATAATAAAGATTTTTTGATTTCCCATATTGATCATTATTAGACGGACCATCAGTAGCAATTTTTATCGATTTCCATGTCTCCTTTACGAACTTATATATTGAAAAAATATTAACTATATGTTTTGGCATTGAACACGGTGCTAAAGAAAAAACATTATTCAACAAAAAAAGACTTAGGATTTATATATACGGCTCATTAATTATAGTTGAACTGGTGGCAATCTCTTGGTCAGTGACAGCATGTAATGATGTTTCATTAAAAAATGTTAAGTTTGTGCATTCCTACAGAAATAAATAGACTATACCGAGCATCTGCTATTACCACAACTTAGTTTCAAAGGAAAGTTAATATTAATCGCTTTGTCGATGGCTGCTAGATTTATACAATTCATTTTTTCTCTTCTACCAATTAAAAGTTTTGTTACGGCTTCTATTATATTATTCTTATTTTCAATAGAGTACATAAGTGTCTATGGTACAGGATATGCAACAGCTACCAAAAGTTTATTTACTCGTTTATTTATTTCTTTTAAACATGTTTTGAGAGTCTCCTCTAACTTAACAGTTGATCGAATGCCAAATCTTTTTTTATCTCAAGATGGCTCACCATACAGGTCTTTTTTTGTTTGATCAATTGAAGTGCGATGTAAATGAACAAGTTCTACAGGTTCTCCATCTTCATTACATGTATTAATAGCTACAGCTGCTAGATTTTTGACTTGCTTATAATGGTGTTAAAGATGATCATTATGAATATGAATAGGCTCATTAACCATTCGAATATTCAATTACTTCACAATTATTCTTTTTAATTAACTAGTAAATTCCAAAAATTTTTATTACTTCTTGGATTCAAGAAAAATTTCAATGCATTTGCTTTGAAAGTTTATTTAAAAAATATTGAATTAGTTATGAATACAGTTTCAAGACAATATATTCTTTACAATCCATTTGTATGCTATGATAAGGTTAATAAAATTCACAACATTTTCTTATAATAAATGAATTCACATTATATATCACAATGACTATTCCTATCCATTAATATAGAAAGAAATGATTGGGTAACGGTAAAAAACGGATTCGTTGTTTGATTGACTCATTACCCCTAGCTGAAGTGAGCATTATTTTTTAGGCTTACATGTTGTGCTCACTTCACGCAACCAGAAAATGTCAATGCATTGACAGGTGTCGCTATTGTATATGCTGTACTTAATAAGAGTTTATCTTCAACAACTTCGTTACAAACTCAATATTTGTTGAATGAGTAAAAATGAGAAGTCAATCGGGTTTTTTAAGAGAGCTTCCATGAGCCCATCGAGTATCATTCCAATATACGAGGCACTCGATAAAAATTTTTTTTTTCGATTTTTTTTGCTCATTCAACACATCAATGTCTAAAACCACTAACCCCAAAATTTTAAGTTCTGATACCTTGAGGGTGTGGGTGTGGGTGTGGGTGTGGGTGTGTGTAGTTCGATTTACCCAGACCCCACGTCCACACCACCGACACTCACACCCACCCACACCCACATCAACACCCGCACCCACCCACACCCTGAATTATGAAAAAGCAACATTCGTATCACCGCGAATGGGTTAATATATAAATACTATATATGAAGCCCAATTCCTCGAAACAAAAAACAATTTCGTCTTTCTTTTCATCGTCTGCAACAAAAAAACAAAAGATAGATATGATCAAATACCAAAACATAGCGTTTTAACTTGATTCTGATATTATGGTTGATAGTTTATCGACATTGATTCTCGGCACATATAAATTGGTGAGTGACTACAAAAAGCTAGACATAGTCTAGAGCTGAGCACAACCACCACCCTTCAATTTCTGGTTAGGCCGCTACATGAAACCTCAATTTAAACTTACGCTCACTTTTATTCTCTTCGAAAATATACGTGAATTTCACAGAAGCGCTTGAATTTCAAGAATAAACACTGGTGATAAGTGAGAAATGTAATTATAACGATATGACTGAACTTTCATTGGCATGTTAAATGAATTATTTCTTAAAGATCAAGAAATTGTTTTAGCAAAAAAAAAATATTTATAAAAAGAATAATTGTGGATTGAAATTCTATTGACAAATGCTTTTAATCAATGCAATTTATATTTTCTTTTTATAAATTTCAAAATTAAATTCATATTTTCTTTAAAATTGTTTCTAATACTTTTTAATCAACCAACAATTTAATAGAATGTCAATAAAGCTAACAGCAATAAATCTATTCATAAAATTAAATAAATGTAATCAAGAGAAATATGATTCATGTTGTTTACACTTGATGTCACCTTAATGTAGACACTTGATAATAAGCAAAATAAAAACAAAATATTTGATGATACACCTATAAGAGAAAAACACGATTTTTCTTATACGTAATTTTACTAGAATTGAAAATAATATTGAAAAAATAACTTTCAAAATTGTCGGAAAAGTTTTGATTAACTAATTGACTTACAAAAGAAAACTTTATGATTAGGTACTGACATTTGAATAATTGTTGTTTTCTTTTTTTGTTAAATTTTTCATATTTTTATTTAGAAATACTGTAAAGAGTTTTATTAATAAAGAAACATTGGTTGTTATTCTTATACTAATTGGGATTCTTATTGTAATAACAATTTGTATTCCAATTGTTTATGTAACTGGAAGACGTACAGGTTTGTTTCTTCTTCTGTTGGTGTTTCTTTTTTAATCAAAACAAAAAAAAATTTAAATATTTAGCTACAGAAATATCTTCAAATAATCAAAGTCTAATGAATCCTCCACCAGGTATTTAGAAGAAAGAGACCAAGAAAAAAAAAATATTATTTATTTATGTTTGTTTTAAATAGACTATCGTCAAAATAAATGTACAAAATCGATGTCATCGATTACAGTAATATTTTCTTTAGAAAATCAAGAACCATTTCCATATAAATTACATTATTATATTTATCGTCCAAGTCCTTTAACAACAACAATTTTTTTGATCTTTGGTTTCCGTCATGATGTTAGCTCTTGGTCATTAGATAAAGTTTCATTTGTTGATAAAACATATAATAAAGATCTTATTAAAGATGGTGATTTTGAATTAAATTATTTAAATAAAAATTATAGACAATGTATATTATCAAATACACGAAGTTCAATAAGTGATATTTTATCTGATATTCCTTATTCAGGTGATTATTATTATAATGATGAAACTAAAGTTGGAATGAATTATTTAATTCAAACAATTGATGGTATTGCAGAAGGATATTATAATATATCATTCTATCTTGAAAATAGAGGTTATTCAGAAAATTATTTTGTTCTTCTTGTTGGATCTTAAAATTGATCATTTTTGTTTATTAAACAAATAATTCTTTTGAAAGCTAGAAAAATAAAACAAATTATGAAGTTTGAATAGCTTTTACACAACTATCATAAATAGTTGTATTTCGATTTCGCCACCGTTGAAGAAAAAATTGATGTTTATTTTGTAAAGTTGTATGAACAATAATTAATGTTAAATTAAGACCAAAATTAAGAGTAGCTGAAATTAAATAAGTATGACGTTGTTTCCATTTATATTTTCCAAACATAATATAAACTACTAAATCGATAACAAGCCAGGTAAATAATTACCTGCTGGAACAATTGATGATATTTAACTCATAGTGACAAATCTTAATGGTTAATGTAATTTTTTTTTAACCAGAAAAAAAAACATTTAAATCTTGATGAAATTCATTCAGGTATTGGTATATATGCTCCAACTAAAAAGCCCCACAATAAATCTTTATTAAGTAAATTAGTTCCATTAAAAAGTTCATCATAACTATGAATAAGTGTTCAATCAAGGTTTGTATTAGTAAATATCGATCAACTTTTTGTTAGATAACTTTTTTTGACGATATATGTAATGAATACCAATTGAGAATATTGAATATGTTAAACTAGCAAGACATTGAACAAGAAATAATGGATGTGGACTTACTTTAATATAATTAGCTAATTTCATATCTTGAATTAAAACTAATGTTTGAACAAAAATAACATAACCAAGAGTTATCAATGTATGTATATTTTAAGCTGATTTGTGTAATGATAATGCTACACCAATTAATAGACATAAATAATAAACAGGTAAACTATGTAATAATTGTCTTGTTATTGATGAAACTAATCCAAATGATAATGTCTATAGAGCTTCAATAAATGATGTTAATAATACATGATACCAATTTAACCATCCAGCATGATCACATGTAACACAAGCAATAATTAATAATCATGTAAATAATTCTAAATATCACCAACTAGGTACTGTTTTATAAAGTGATATCATGCGAGCATGTATATTGTTTCTCATATTTCTATCAGTTTTTGTATGAAATTGTTGCTATATATTAAGACCATGAAATAATAACGTATGAACAAAAACTAGATGCTGTAAATTCAGTTAATACAATTCCATCGATTGACAAAATTGTAAAACTACTTATTTTTGTACCATATACAATCGGAACAATTACCCACATAATTAATGCAAAACCAAATGCTATATTGATTAATGTTGAATAAGATATAGTTATTGGTGATCCGAGACATGCAGTTAGTTTAATATCAATATAATGTTAAGTCTCTACTACCTATAACAAGTCCACGTATTGCTGTTGATTGTGCTAAAAAATTGTTTGACGGATTTATTCAAAACATTCATGAAAAATATGCTAATATTGGCGTTATATATAATAGAAACTATTCGTATATAAGTGATTTATTGATATAACAAAAAAAAATATAATAAATGATTATATAAAAGAGTTTGTTTTAAACTTCGATTTTCATTTCCATAAGATATTTCTGTTACACTTAATTCGCGATCATGATAATGTACGTAATACAGCTATTAAAAGTAAATTTTATGGCCAAATTGATTCTCATGGTCAAAGCAAAACTCGACGAAGAATACCTTAAAAGAATTTTGATAGTGGTTAGGTTTTTGTTTACATTTAATTTAAAAAAAAAGAAAACTAAATAAAGAAATAATATACAAAATGAATATTCTCTTCTTCATAAACTTTTAATGTTGTTATCATGGCATGAATATAAATAAAATTATACATATAAGCAAGATTAGCCACAGCTAAAATAAGTTCATGTTCTTCTAATGCAATTCTTTTTTTCTTTTTGAATTTGGTATAATTAAACTCCATAAATATTCTAATGGATAAGCAACAATAACAAACATTAAACCAATAGTAATACTTCTTATAGTACAAGATTGTTCATCAATATTATCTTTATATTTGAACATACTTCACCGACTCCTTCAAATTGAGACATCTCAGCATCAACATATGCATGACATATATCTTCATTTCTATCAGAATTTTCCATTTTAATTTAATCTTTTGTTCTTTTTTTTTTTGTCTGAAACTCTTTTAAATAAAACAAAATATAGAAATCAATAGGTTCAAAGTAGAGACATTTGTCTATTATGTTAAATAAAAATAAATGTAAATTTAGCTTCGATAAAATCAAATAAGAAAAAAACAACGTATACTCATCATTTATTTTTGTTATGCTTGTCTGACCTGTTTGAAGAGAAAGTCAATGTCACGTGGTGAAAAATATCATATGGCAAATTTTTTTCTAGGGAAAAAAAAATCAATGATTTTATTTATGAGTATTAGTGTTATAGAAAAAGATAATAAGTTTCTTAATACAGCATGTCATAATTTTAATTAAAAATAATGACAATATTTTTGTTATTCAGTCTAATCGATAAATGATTTTTTGTAATAACCATTAGCATTTAAAAAGTATTTTGTTTTCTTTTATGGAACTCACATATATTTTCGAAGAAAATAGTAAATGTAAGTTTTAAACATCAAGTTTTGCTGTTCCTCTTTCTCCCCATTATACAGACCTTAGCAATCAGCATTAATGAAGTTGAAGGACATATGTGAGTTTCATATTTGAGCTCTAAAGGTGTTGCACTAACAAGCTTTTTCTTCTCAATCAATTAAAAGTAATCGAAATATTTTATCATTTAAAATAAAACAAAAATTGTTTAAAATTTTTTTAATTATTAAAGAAAAACTTTTCTTTTAGAGTACATAAATGAAAATTTATTTGAATAAAAAAAAGAAAGCTTTCAGAAAACGTTGATCGATTAAAATCATTGTAAAATTGTTTTCTTTTATTTCTATTAATTAATTAAATAAGAAAAAAAACATGAAAACGATTAAAATATTTAATTTTGAATAAGAGACAAAGTTCATTTAATAATTTATGTAAATTTAAATTCACTTTTATTCATTAAATTAAGAAAATAAACTTCTTTTGACATTTTATTTATTTTTAGTTTCTTAAATAATCGAAAAAAAAATGTATCTTGAAATTGATAATAAAAAATAAATGATAAAATCAATCCCAAAAAATATTCGAATATAAATACTTAAAATAAGTAAATATTAATTATTATTAATGAGCATTCAATTATTAATGATTTTGATTATGAAACTATATTATTTAATTTAGATGCAAAATAGAAAAAATAACAAATAATCTATAACTTAAATATGAATTTTATATGATTATTTATTTCAATAGACGTATAATTACTCAAAAATTAAATAATAATATTATTCAATGGAAAACATTAATTGCTGCATCAAACATTGAGTGTATTATTAATGAAAAATCAAGTAAAATATTTCATGTTAATGATGAGATAAAAAAGAATATTCCAAAAGTTTCGACCTCTAAATGTAAATTAACGTTATATCTATAGGTAATTGATTGCAATATACAGTTTGCTACAACAACGAGAAGAGTTTAAATTATGTCACGGTTACGATCAGTTTATTCATAATGGGTAAGCATTTTACATATTTTTGCAAAAAAAAATCTAAAGTGAAATATCGTTCTGTATGTATTTTTATATAATTCAAAAGAGTTCGAGAAGCTCTACTCGAATATGAATATGAAACTAAAAATATCTTCTCCGAGTTTTATGAACACAAGAAACGGTCGATAAACTAAAGTTCAGCATGTATTCTCTAATACAAAATATTTCAGATCTTTCTGATTTCCTTCAAGTTGTGCACTGGGAACAACATCAGATTTTTTTTCTAATTTATATTTCTGTAGAGGTGTGGATGTCTCTATGAACATTCACATCCATCATTTACAAAATGATCACTGAGAATTGATACTACTGACCATCACTTGATTGTTTAATTTTTATATAAACTGATAAAGCTATTTGTTCTCTTTTGAATACTGAAAACTGCAGATTGTTAGCTACTTTTTTGCCCGAATTGTTTGCAATACAATCAAGACTATTGTATTTTTGAATCGATAGTAAGAACAACTAAGGTTTCATGAATATTTATCTGTATTTTTCTTAGTCCATGTTTGTATAAAGTGGATTAATAGTAAAGATAAGCTTATCAAGGAAAAAATTTTGTACTATTTCTATTTTCACACGAGTTAGTCTAAGATAATGAAATATAACGAGTGTTGAATGAAGAAAAAAAACTATTTAGAAAAATCATGCCACAATATTATTGACTTTTGTGAATGTCAGTAATGTATCATCAACGGCTTTGATTGTTATCATATATTTCATTGAAAAACAAAATCTATGTTAGTTGACAATTTAGGATTATAAGTAAATGGATTATTAATAATTGGAAATTTTTTCTTTTTCGCAATAAAAACAACGAAAGACGTCACGTACTATAAAAAACGAATCATGAATAGAAATAAATAGAGACTTTAATCAAGTTTCACTTTTTCATTGATATAATTTATTTTTTAATATTTCTCGGTGCTGCACCCAATCGAAATAATCTCTTGTATTTAATCAACATTTTAAGATAAATTGAAAAAAACCTAACAATTGATTTCATCCAAAATCAATTTTCAAAAATGTCCTTTTAAAGAAATCATCACTTAATTCACTTAGCTAATTGTTTTCTAGGAAATGAATAAGAAATATTATTCATTGCCTTTCGTGTTTTTTTTTATATATCTATTTTAATTTAAATGTAGCTAATTTTAACTGAATATTCTTGTTAGAAATATTCATCAAAAAACTGATAAGTAGAATTCCAAAACAATACATAATTCCTTGTTTTATCATTTTTTCAAATTTGCATGTACAATGATTGAGTATCTGTCACAGATGAATAGTAAATATGAATTCCATATACATTTTACTTTTCATATTACTTATATTGTTGTTTTCTTCTGATGTATTTGTGAGTTATTCACGATAAATAGTATGGAAATATAAAATATTTCTCAATTCTAAATATTGATTTAGTTTTGTTTTGATGATATCAGTTAATATCGATAATTGGTTATAAAATATATTACGTATATTAAGATGAAAATCACTTAATCTAATAGTTCAATACATATCATCTTGTCAAAATAAAGTTAATAATGATTGTAATTCTCACTATGTGGTGACTATATACCTAAAAAAGAATTAAACAAAAGATTTTTAGATATAAATTTAATATATAAATTACAATAGTAATTCATTTAATAATCATTTGCTTCGTAGTACTGAAAGATATAGAAGAAGACAAAACCACGTAATAAACTTATTTAACTGTCAAATGTGTTAAATTATAACGTCGACTATATGTTATATCTTCTGCTTTGTGGTCTTCTGATTTCATACTGTCAGTATTATGTGGCTTATCTTGAATAATTCTGTCAACAACATCTGCATCATTAAATATCACATATACATATCTAAAATATATTATTCTCTTTTATCTTTTGCCATAGTATATGATAAAACTTTATCATATTTATCAGAATAACTTGATTGATGACTATTTGTCAATGATTAAACAGTACACTAAGACAATCATTCAATTCAATAGGCCCTTTATCACCAGCCTCTGTTAACTAATAATCTCGAATTCAATGACAATGTGATGCATATTTACCTTATTGTTTTGTTTTTTGTTACAGATGCAAGCGATCAGTCACGTACTCGAAGCCTAAGTTATACGATTTACAGCAAGAATAAAAAGCTTGATTCAAATAAAACACTAAGAATACTTCCCCTTTTTGAATTTCTAGAGAATGGCTCATCAGAAAATTTTAGCACTATTACTGCAAATAGTTCTTGTAGATTTGATCACACTTTTCGCACCCAGTTTCTTCGAGATGCTACGTTCGATCGAGTTGAAAATATTTTTACAGTTACTAGACACCATGTGGACTGGTACCTTGCTTTTGAGTTTCCGTATTGTTTTTGTTCTTTCAATAGAAAAGTGCGTTAGGAACGCGTTTGATTTCTGAACTAAGTAAATTGTTAGAGAAACTAGCCCAAGCTACAGAATTAGTTTCCTTGAAAAAATAATTTAGATGAATTATTCAAACAAAATAAATTTATGGATAAAGTTATTTTCTCTAACAATTTAACTAGTTCAGAAATTAAATGCCAAATAAAGACTATTCTAACTACAAGAATCTTATCTAATTATCGAATGTTGCATGCAAGTAACATATGTAAAACATGTTTGATATAAGTTTCGAGCTGGTTTTGACTTTGTTTTTTGTGTCTTTCGAATATTCCAAGCTGAACAAGCATTGACAATACATTTTGAAGATTTCATCTAATCAAATATCCAAGTTTTATTCACTAAAATACCATCATCACTTAAAAAGTTCATTATTGGAAAACATTTATTAAATATTAAAATAATATTAACAGATAAATTTTACATAGTCGAATACTATATTTGGTTCGAACCTCAATTTCTCTACAGTTAAGATGAAAAATATAATGTGAAAGAATTAAAAAAAAAAAGAAAAGTAACAATCTGACGAAAGTAAATATTACTTTTCAAACATATATTCTCACTCTGTATCCAATTTTAGATACTGAAAAACTAGAATAAAATTGAAATGAATTAGAAGTTTATAAAACAACACATATATAATAAAATCTTATAAATTCTACTGATCTTAACAGAAAAACTAACTAAAGAAAATTCTATTTTGCTTTAAACAATAAATAACAAGATCAAAGACTAACATGATCGATAACGTTCGATCGCAACATATGTATCTGTGTTGCATATATTAGAATAAAATATTTCAATGAAAGTACTAGAACTTAAACATTGATCTATATAGAGTTACTCATATGAGAGTACCGATTTATTAATTACTAATAGACTATATGAAGAAAAATACCAACAAGCTCAAAAAAATATATATCCTATTATGTACTGCATAGAAATGAAAAATCTATGAAGAAAAAAATGAATGACTGATATGAAGATACTATTATTTGACGAATATATCAGTGGGTATGATTAAATAAACCCCACATCCTTTATGCAAGTCAACATTGAGAAAAAAATTCGAAATGAAATCTATACGATGAATTTTTAGAGCCGCTGTAACAGACTTGCAGAGTCACGCTTTTTCAGGTAGTCTCGTTTTTTGCAATAAACACTTTGAAAATTTAATTTAGTGGAATGGTTTTATTTGATTGTTTTTCTATTTCATGTTATTTGTCCATTGAACTGAGAGTTTTTTTTTTGTTTTTACTAAACATAACAATTATCAAAAGAAAAATGCTACAGTAAAAATAAATGAAATAAGTTTTCCAGGAGACTGATAGAGAGTTGTCAGAGCAGCAATTTAAAATTGACAAATGAGGGATACATGTTTTTAGATTTTTGCATTTTTTTTTTAAACGAAAAGAAATTTTTAAGACAAAAAATGAAACTCAACAGGATATTACAAGGAAAACATTGGAAAAAAGGACGAATATTAGTTGATCAAACAAATCATTTAGGTGAGGTCGTTGATTCTTTTGGAACATTTAATGTCAAAAGCTTTTCCTCAATATTTTTCATTGTTTGCATTTTTGTTTGATGATAATCTTCAAGTTTTTGCTCTTGTTTATGTTCTAATTCATTAAATCGTTGTTCGAGTTGATGATGCCATGGATACAACACACCGACTTGAAAACCGAGAGCAGCCGTTGCGATCAAGAAATTAACAAGTGGCACGAATTTTCGTACAAATGGATTCACCATTGTTGATCTAATAACTTGAGAATATAGCACGAAGCTTTAATCTTTTGTTCGTCTCCAAAATTGGATGCAAAATAAACCAATCGAATTGAATAATGTTATCTAAAATATCAATAGCATATGAAATAAGTGTTCTTTTCGATCGGTTAGCATTTTCTAAAAATTTTCAAAACAACGTCGATCATGGGCTCTTATTCATAGTGTCTGGTGAGAACGAATTTTCTCGATTCCGATGCTCACATTGTCTTCAAAATTTCTTTTACGACTTCATTCTTCCTGTTTCGGAAATGGAATCATCACCAGATCCTAATGCGTATGGATTTCATACTTTAGGCAACATCAGATGACCTAATATTAAAAATAAAATTATGATTGAACGTAAAAATACATTCAAATGCAATAAATGAGTTATTATTCATGCATCGAAATTTATGAACCATAAATTAAGAGAATCATTTCTTTTCTCTATGGAATAACTGAAAAGAGAAAAAAAAAATAGTTGTTTTAATTGATTAAAAAGTTAATAAATAGCTAATAAATAATCATATCCAATTAATCATGATATATATATATATATATTTGCTATTTATCTGTTAATTAATAAGCGATGGACAAGTCTCTGAAAGAATTTCGAAATTTCTATCCTAACAGTATACCATTCAATTGATTTTCGACTCTTTTTTTTTGTTTGAAAGAATGAAATTCAGAAATTATATACATACAACAAATAAATTATTTATCCATTTGCTTTATGAGATGCGAGAGGTATTCGACTTTCATCATAATAAAACGAAAATAAATCATTTAACTGTTTTCATCTGTTTTATTCTTCTAGACTTTGTTCTTTCAAAACAAAGAAAAAAATTTCGACCAATCCGATATTTTACTGTTGAGAAATGAATGACGATATTTAACAAAACGATTTTTTGGGAATATTCACTGTTACTATCATTTATGTTCTCGCAAAGCACTACTTATTTCTCAATTGATAGGGAAAAAAAATCAAATCAAATTAGAAATTCTCTATTTGATTGCTACACGAGTAACACAGGAGACGCAACCCATTTGCGAGTGTCATTAAATAAGTTTGACTTTCAATGTTCAACAAATCTGTCTGATTCTAGTGACGAATTTTCTTCTCAAATCAAAATCTACAATATTTGCGCATTACTGATGCCATCTAGCCGACACTTAGATAATTGTTTCTTGAGGAGATTTTTGTGTAAGATGCTTGACCTATCCCGATAGTAGAGCGTGTGTATCTCATCAGTTATTCTGAAATATAGTGCCGATAAAACGTTCGATTTACACGAATACCAGTGAAAATTTTTCAGAAAATATTCGAATAAAATATTGAGAACGAAGATTTTATTCGAGTCAAGATCGTGAAAAGCTTGATTCGAACTTTTCAATTAACTATACTTCTTCAATTCGATCCATCAGAAAAGTGAAATAATCAATGTGCCGTCATTTTAGAGAGAGCCTACTCATTGAGCCAGAAAGAAAAGAACTGTTCGAGGTTACACTAGTAAGCAATCAATAGAAACGATACAATCTAAAAGATACTCAAATAGGCCTTGATCCATTCCAATAGATGAAAAATAATTAGTCACGATTCGGTTTTTGATACAGAAACATTGCTGCAATAGCAAGTGTATCAAGCAGAATCAAGATGAACAGAATGTCCGATATTTCTTATATACATGATAATTGTTGATGAAAAAGAAGTGTGAACAAACACACTTAGCTTCTATCAACAAAGAGTACTGATTAAAAACAGAAATGAAACATTTATATCTCTCGAGTGTTTGAGATCTTAGGGCTCATTTCACACAATCTACTTTTATTCATCAATCAACAGAACATGAAAAAAAAGTTTGAAATAAAATTTTCTTTTATTCTTTTCTGATCCTAACAAAGCGTATGATAACACTTTTCTATCGTCTCTCAAATGTTGGAATAACAAATCTTATGGCATCTTAAAAAATAAAATATCATGTTTGCATTCTTCCTTAAATAAACGATATAAATTGATATTTAACAATCAAATAAACGCTAAAATATACTTTATTTCATTATATAACATGCTCAGGAGAAATCACGTAGAAAAAAAGACGCGAATTTATATAGCAAACATAAAAGAGTTAACAATGATAGTTGTTTTCTTTATTTATTAGCATTAAAAAAAATTGTAATAAACAAATAAAAACCAAAGAAATCTATTTCAGTATTGATATAAATAGAAAAGGGTTGTATTAAAATTAATGAAGGAACATTCTCGACTGTTGAAGCACTTTCGAGTTGGAAGTTAGTGCATCTTGTAGAACTTGCTAAACTACGTTTACCATAGAGAGCATCCGTTTTCAGGGTTTCTTTTTGAGGAGATCGAGTGTTTTTACTTCTAAAGCTATATGAACAATGTTATAATTAAAAATTCACTATCTCACATAATACAAATTGAAACGAACTGAAATTTTTCTCATATATAGCTGTGCTCATGTGAAAGATGATACGAAAGTATTAGCTCACAGAACCTTAGAAAAATAGATTTATTGATTTTATACAATATTGATGTCTATGCTTGAAAAGTGTAATTTCTCATGATTATATATTTATTTTTACTTCGTGTCTGGTGTTAACAACACAGATCGATAAGGTTACTTACCGAAAGAAAAGAAGAAAAAAAAGGAACTACTCTATATCTCATAGAGAAACTATTTAAGGCTAAACTATATAAACTATTATGAATGTGATAATTGAAGAAAAAAATGTCACTGTATATTTAACTTACGATATAAACACACTACTAGAGACGCCAAAATAGAAGTAAAAATAAACATATTATCATGAAAAACTACAATTCTCAAACAGATACAATTGTATAACGATATAATCACTCAATATTGTATAATATCGATAACTCTGTATTTTTAAAATTGTTTGAGCTCATACTTTTGTATCATCTTTCACATGAGTACAGTTGTATCTGAATAAATTTTTAACTTGTTTTCAAGTTGTATTATGTGAAATAGTGAATTTTTATTTATAACATGGTTCATATAGATGTAAAAGTAAAAACATCCGATCTCCTCAGAAAGAAGCCATGACAACGAACGCTCTCTATAGTAAACAAAGTTCAGCAAGATCTACAAGATGCACTAAGTTCAAGTCGAAAGCGCTTCAACAATTAAGAATGTTTCTTCTAATAAATAGAACTAGTTTTGGATACCTTATATGTAAATAGTCATTAATGATAATATTGATTGGAAGAGGTCATAATCTACTACTATCAAATCATATTGCTTGATTTAATATTACATATATATTTCAAGTACTAACTAGTATTAAAATGTAAATTTCTTCAGTAAACTGCACTACGCAGTACGTACACTTCTTTTTTAAGCAGCGAATAAAACAGCATTTATATTCGATGGTCGATTTATTCTTACTTCTAATTAGTACACCTGCCATGGGAAACAGCGTTTTTAATAGGAATCTGTAAGAAGGTATTGATGAAAAGAAAATTCAATAACCATAATGAATGCAATAATACTAAAAGAAAAAAAAATATATTAGCTTCATCTACAACTAGAATTTTTAAACAAGAGAGAGAGAGGCGAGCAACTTTTACATAATGGCGTTATAAATAAGCAAAGTTTTTGTTTGTACTTTACAATGTACCATTATGGTACTATGTTTCTTACAGTAAAGTTCAAAATACAGTACTTTTACAAGATTGTAAGTACCTTGAATACTTTGCTTTTGCTTGAGGCACTTAATGTTAAAAATACTAATCGAAAGCAGAATGCTCACTTCGAGTGATTACATTCATGTTCATGATTGATACGATTAGTCATTCAATAGCCAATCAAGAATAAGATGTACTTTTATTCTAAAAGAAACATAATTTTTTATTTTTATTTTTTGTCAATATTTTTCATGAAATCTAACGTAAGAATAAATTAATAATTATGATTATGTGCCAAAAATAGAGGCTTAAGCAATATCATCATGGCTGATTAATCAAAAAGAATAAATTAGACGCCTGAGGAAACTTAATGTAAGATCACCTTTCCGCACTAATTGATCTTTGACCAAAAACACCTAAATTGTATATAGTTTTTAGCATATGTTGTAGCTGGTTTCGAGATGTTATGATACAATTTTCAGTGCGATATCAGGATGGTTTCCAGAGATACTAAATAAACAAGAGTAAAAAAAAGTTCATATGGCAAGTCAAAAGTCTCGTTGAGTTTTTATTGTATATGATTAATTATTTTTGTTTCAAAGAGCATGTCAGGATTCAAGGCATGACAAAACCGCTTTTTTAAATTCACATTTTTCAATACCTCAAAAAACTCAGAAAAAATGGCGCCCTGACTACAACGAAAAAAACTTTTTTTTTCTGAAAGCAGCTTATGTTTCGAATAGGGCTTAACAAAAATCTTCAAAAGGGTGGGTGTGAGTATTGTTCTCTGCCTCATACCCATATCCATGAACAGCTTTTACTGTACATAATGACTCTGAACGTCTGAAGAAGTTATCTTTTTTCTGTCTTCATGAAATATACGATGTTTTTTGCATAGGATTTTTATCCTTTGATTTTCTATCTTTAGTTTTTACCCACGTTTCACTTCTGATCATTTCTTGTATTCATTCTTCCATTTTAATTTTCACTTGTCTAATTAAAGAATGAAGAAAGTAGCCGATTTGTTTCTGTGTCGCTTGATTAGATATAAATAATTGTCTATCTCCAATAGAGGTTTGTTCTTGTTTGTTGAAATTCATCAACATAGATTTCAAACTCCTTGGTCTTGTAGGTACCAAGATCTCACAACAGGATGCTTTTGACTACTAGCATATGACGTATACAATTAGTGTTCCTACATACTTTTAAAGAAAACTAATTTAAAATTTATCTAAAAAACAATGTCGACTTCTAGCAAAGAGAATTTATTTAAAATAGTGGAAAAACATATTTCAGTTCAAATATATTATGTCTTTTTAATTCTTAGCAATTGGATATAAGTTAAAATGAGAAATACAATAGTCATAATGGCTAAGTCCAAGTAATTTTTCCATAAATTCCATTCAGTTGTAAAATTTAAATCTCTGTCATTCAAAATTTCTAATCCTGTCAATGGACAAATATTTGTATCATTGGCTAAACAAAATGTAATGTTGCGAAATTCACTGATTGTTAGCATATTGGATGCATATCGAAAAGCACTGATCCAATGCGTCCACGACAACCGCTTGAAAATACTTTTTAAGGCGATGAGAAAACCACTGAAGATCATCATTACCAAAAAGATAAGTATGACAAGAATCAAAGCAATATCTAAAAAGAAACAGATAATGACACTAATGCACTATTCTACACCATCAATTTTTTTTTTCTACGAAAAATTTCTTTACAACCACTTATTTTGAACTTCTCTTCTAATTTTTTGCACCAGAGAAACAAAAAACAAAAACTTACCATAATGACTAGCTGTAGCTGCAACAAAAAGACATACAGTTGATCCAAAAATACTTGCAAGAAAAATCGTAATAAGAAAAACAAAGAATTTATCAAGCAATTGTTAAAAATATAATCGAAACCAAACTTCTCACTAACAATATATATCCCATAGAAATTTAGTTAAGAAGAATGTCGATGTTTGATAGTAGCCGCTGCTATTTTCCTATTAGATAAATCATTGTTTTCTATATCATGAGCTGAAATGAAAAATGTACATATACAAATATAGCACGTTCTTTAATTAATCGTTCCAACTCTGTCATTGTACTAAACATTTGTGTTGCAACAATCATTAATATAGCACCTAAACGATCTTGTACTCCTGCCCAGGTGATTCGATCCGACTGTCGGATTACGTCGGATTATATCGGAAAAATTACCGGATTTTAACGGATCCGACGGGAACTCGTCGGAAGTTGTCGGCATCCTAGCCACAGGATTCCGACAGGAGGTTCCGGATGTCGGAATAATCAGGATTCTGCGAAATCCCTGAAACTCCGACACTTTCCGACATCCAGAACCACTTGTCGGAATCCTGTGGTTAGGATTCCGACAAATTCCGGCGAAATTCTATCGGATTCGACAGGGTGAATTCGACCTGGGTGGATCAATAGTTTTTTTCAAATCAAAAAATATGAGACCTATTAAAAGCCCTATAATAATAGCTACAGCTATTTGTGCCAAGAATAATGCAGAATTACGAAAAGTATTTTTCAATGTCTGTTGAGATACATAATAAATTTCTTTCCAAAAAGATTGTACCAGTTTACGTGATTTTTTTATTAGTTCGTCTTGCAAAATGATCATCGACTAGTTGTTGTCTTTTAAGTTCCATAATGCTTTTATTCATGGAAGAATTTTCATAAGCTAGATGTAACTTTTCCAATGTGTCGGCCTTTTGATTGACATCTATTAGAACAATAATTACGAAATCAGCTAGATTATCATGACTTTCACATGTATAACCTTGTTGAGAAAAATAATCTAATAGATCTTTCGCTTGACCATGGTAATACATTTCACCTTGAGACAAAAGAGTTACTGTGTCAAAAAGTTTAAATATAGAATAACTTGGTTGATGTATACTGAATATGATAGTACGTCGAATAGACATTAATAATTATATCATTCTAGAAATTAATAATAAATAAATTTTGAACTTACATCCTTCTGTTGATAGTTTACTTAAACATTGCATTATATTTCGAGCTGTTGTTGCATCAAGTCCTATTTATGAATGATAACAACTCTATAACATCCGAGTTTCGAGACAAAACTAGGTAAAATCTTAAATTTTTGATTAATAAAGTGAACATTGTTCTAATTTTATTTTTGATTTGATACAGAATTAGGAATGTTACAATCATTCGACTAAAGAGCAAACCTATAGTCGGTTCATTAAGAAAAAATATTTTAGGTGCTAATACCAATTCCATACCAATACATGTTCGTTTTCGTTCATCACCAGAAACACCTCTGATGAATTCGGTACCGATTCTTGTATCCGCACATGAATTAAGTCCAAGATCAGAAATAATTTTTGTCACTCGCCCTACACACTCTTCATAAGATACTTCTCCAGGTAGACGAATATTCGTCGAAAACATGAGATTTTCTCGTGCAGTAAGTGTCTTACAAATCGTATCCGTTTGAATAACGTAGCCAACCATATATTTAAATGAATCGGGTGGTGATGAACCATCGAAAAGAATTTGACCATGTAGACCTTCTCGATCTTTACGATGCGCAAGAATATCAAATAGAGATGATTTTTCCCATCCTGTTTGACCTAATAATATTTAAATTTTGAATTTAATCCGAAACAAGATGATGCTATTCAGCATACTAGACTATTCTTGTTTCTTATTCATATCAATTGTCTCAAAAATAAAATAAATAAAGGTTTTAGGTTAAAAAAACACCATAATTCAAAAAAACTATTAAAATTTAAAGTTTCAATTGTTTTATTCAATTTCAATTATCTAAATAGAAAATCATCTTAAGTCTTAAATTTTCGTTGTTGAACTCTTAAAATATACTCATATCAATCAAAAGTAATTGAATTCGAACACATCATGTAATTTTCATTAAAAACATGAAATCAAACATCGAATGGAGACTAAATTAATTGAGGTATAAAAACATTTTGTGTAGAAAATCAAAAATACAGAAAAAAGATTGTCGAAAACAAAACACGATTTTGATATATGGATGTTAGTGAGTGCATTATCTTTACGAATGAAGTCCCTTCTACTCATCTTACACTAGCAATAAAAACTGAATTAATACTATAAATTATGATATATCAACTAAAATATTGTTTAATTAAAAGCTCACGAATTCCGTTAAAATAGAAAATCTATATTCAATAAAAGTTCAGTTGAATGTCGAACTTTACATAATCCTACGATCTATTGTTCCATAAAAAACGAAACACATTTTCACTGGGCCATGAGAATCTTAAAAGTTTTTTCAAGTTCTATTTATTTTATGCGTCAATTAGGATGTGGTGTGGGTGTATGTGGCTGTGGGTGAGTGTGTGTCTGCAAAAGAAGAGCACCCACACCCCACACCCACCACACTACCCACCCTTTTCACGTTTACCTTGAAACTGATGGCGATAGTGAAAGAAAAAATGAAGCAAAGTCTTTCATGTATTGATGATGAAAACGCTTCTATACGATAAGTCACTTTGGTACGTTTGTTTTATTCTATTTGCTACGTTGCATTTGTTTGCGTTATCTTTAAGGGAGAAAATTGCACACAGATAATGAAGGTAGATAACAGATTATCAATAAAAATGTCTACATAAATGGAGAAAACACAACAAATATTTATTTGTAACAAAATATTGTGTTTGATAACAAGCAAAATTTATGGCACATCAAGTTTCTGCGTCTCTTCTGACGCTACCGATTGAACTCGTCTATCGTATTTTGGACAATTTGAATAAATTTGACCTTTTATGTTCAGCTCGTAACGTGTCTGGACGACTGAACGAAATTATTGATACATATCATCGATATCAGGTAAATATTAACGTTATTATCAAGTTCAATCTCTCCGGTCTTCAAGAAATCTTTCCTTTCAACAAATGATTATTTTGCTTATGTAATTTCTTCGTTTCAGAATAGTAATACTTCGATAACGATGTTTTCAAAATAATGAGTACCGGTCAAAAAAAAAACACAGCCATAACATTGCCCAAACTTTTTCAAAATACTTTATTTGATTTTGCAGCTTTGCTGTATTCCCTTACTAAATAGAAAACAAAATTACTGTAATTTTACAGTTTCGCCAATATTTTCGTAGAACCGGTGAATTTTTCAACAGTCGTTGGAGAAATGAATTTTTAAAACTGATTGTGAGCCAAACAATGCCTAATAGAAAACAGCAATCGGGGACTTTGACTCTATAATAAATTTTGCTCAATTCTACAACATTTATCTGCTAGTAAAGTTTCAAATTTTTTGAATGAAGGATCCTTTAGAAACTACGAAAAGAGACGTGGTATTCTGAAAATTTTTTTCTAAACCCTTAAAGGTATTGTTCTTGATAGATCCAAAAAGAATTTCGTGATCGTGATCGTGATCGTGATCAACAAAGTATAGCCAAGCGTAAATCCTAATGAGAAAATACGATGAGAACACATATAAAACTATAATCGAAGACTCGCTACGAGAATGACACACGATCAAATTGCATCGCTTCTCCTTATTTTGGATTTAGTCCATTTTCGCCGAAGACGAATTTCGCCGAAAAGAAAATTTTACCGAAGGAAATTTGCCGAAAAATGTTCGCCGAAAGAATTTGGTCGCCGAAAACAAATATAAGTTGAGTTTGATCATGTATACAACAATTCTATTGAGACAATTAATCGATCATATCAAGTCAGTTAAGTCCCACTTGAGATGGCTTCCATGTCGGTTAAATTGACTACCAAATCAGATGGTAACCATTTGAGTTGGTAGCCAACTGAGTTAGTTATCATACTAATAACATTTGTTTATTGGTTAAATAGATGCCACCAGAAGAATATTTATTCGTCCTAATTGGTACGAAAAAAGACTTGTGACGTCATTATGATCTTTATACTCTGGTAGAGGTTAACAGTTGAGAATTCGTTAGATTAGTTTGAGAAAACAAAGAATGGTGGAAAAGAGTGTGGGTGTGAGACATCTCTTAGCCAATACCCACACCCACTAACACTCGCATGCACACCCATACCCACACCCACCCACACTCCACACCCCACCCACACCCTCGACTAGTTCAATCTGGTGAGCAAACATTAAGATTTAAATGAATAAATTACAAAATGTCGATGATAGCAGCTTAAGTAGAAATTTGAGCTAGTTAGGAACTCAGAGCACTAGATTTCTCGACCTTTGAAACTTAATAGACAATGTCTTCTTTTTGAATTATAGAAGTTATGAATGCATTAGGTTCAATTTCTTCTGTAATGTTCGATGCAAACGATTCTCTTTCAGAGTCAAGAACTATCGAACCAGTTCAGTATTTCTTGAGATATGTACATCAACAAATATGAACGTACTGAGAGATACATCCAAGTTCAGGATTGGATAATTCTGAATATCGTTGTCTCTTTTGTTTCAGAATGTCCATTCCATTTCTCTTCAATATGATATAATTCTTTCAAATAAAATATTGTTCGAAGGCAAATCATATGGAATTTTAGTAGTGTGACAAGATTTACCAAATCGTTCTCTTATACATTTCATTTTCCTTTGAAACACATAATGTAATTGAAATCTATTTCATCATCATATGTTCATCTTCTAAAATATTCACAGGTCCGCAGGTTTCACCAATTTTCTACTTCTACATAAACTTCAAAAGTACTGTTGAAAGCTATGACTTTTAATCGAAGCATTATAATTTAGCCTATTTTCTCTTTCTAGAAAAATCATCATTTAGTATTTATTTTTTAATTGATTCGAGTTGTTGAATGAATGATTCAGACCTTTAAATCACTCAATACTAAAATGATCTTTTCATTTAATTGAGTTTCGACATATCTTTCTAGAAACGAAATAAATAGCTTCAAATCAAAATTCAAACCATTAAGACGTGTATCATTCAGGAGTTGTTCTGCAAAGCGACAAAAACTTAAATTTTTGTATTTTCCTTGAAGATCTTAACTTTGAACAATGCTTTTAAAGTTTATCTGTAGAAATGAAAACAGCATTTATTTATCTACGGCAAAACACAAAATGAATCGATGACATTCAGTTTCTCATTTGACTATTGTGTCAAGTATGAACGCTTATTGAGAAAAAATTAGTAAATCATATAATTTTAAGAAACTCTAGACAAATTTAACTCATCACAAACTTGGAAAAATAGAGTCAGGAAGCTCATAAAACGGTCAAAATGGTTTATCTACAAATTAAGATGCATTTTAATGATCATTTGTCCATTATTCTTTTGACTGGATAGTATGCTAATTGAAAATTTCTATTCTGTTAGTTGGAACAGAACTCCGTTTAAATGCTGCTGATATTTTTATATTCTTCACTAGAATTGGAGCATAGCCAGAAGCGTGTGTTGACCACTGCTGATCTTGTTTATCTTTTTCTATTAGCAATGAAATTCTGTCTAAATTCGTTTGTAATTTTTGAATTCTTGAGAGAGCTCTGTTTTTAGACAGATGGAAAGGAGTGTGTGGTGATTGGTGGTTTATTTACTCATGAGAATATATCTTAATGTGCTAATACATTGTTTACCGATGAGATTTTTCAATTCTGAATCTTGCAGACTTTCCCCATGGAGTAAAATATTCAAGGAAACGGACTGCGTAACGCGTTTCTGAGACTGCAGCATGCGTTTCGCAACGTTTTTTCAATATAGAACGCGTTTCACAGCATTCTTACTTCGATAGAATGCGTTTTGCTGCTGGCGTTTTTTGAAACGATCTGAAACGCGTTTTTCCAAGATTGCGTTTCGAAGCGTTTCCGAAGTACAATACTGTCGAACGCATTTCGGTCGATAGGTAAAGCGTTCCAGAGACACAGATTCGGAGAAATGTGAAACGCGTTTTGTTTTCAAAGACATTTTGCATCGTTTTTGTTTGAAATGATGGAAAATATATCCGTTTTGCATACAGAATCTTGCAGAAATTTATCTGTACAAAATGTACGAGTTAAGCAAAGTTAATTCTGGCACTATTTTAGAAATTATAGGAAATGGGATTTGAACATGTTGTTCCTTGCACTGTTTTTCAACATGAAAATCATGACCCAAACTTTCCAAACGCAAGATTAAAATCGAATTCTTCTAAATGTTTAGGCTGCTAGACTGTTATATAAGTCTGATTGGTAGTTAGACTAATGTTGAACATCAAAATGTAAGAAAAATATTGTTTTTTCCTTGAAAACTCATTTCACTAGGTTTTTATTGAAAGAAAACGTGTTTCGTAACGTTCAACCAAGCATTGTTTTAAATATTGAACAATTCGAAAAGATTTAGTAAAGACTGATGCTAGTATAATGTGTACGACAACTTTGTTTGTTTATTTGTGAACAAAAAAATCTCGAGTTATTTATAATTTGAATAATTATTGGTATGAATTCATATTTGGACTACTTGATAGTGACTGATGATACGGTGTACAATACTATTAAATATGATTTTAGTTCGTACTTTGTTAATGTAAGCGTGACTTATTAATACAAAGAATATTCGATTTACAAAAGAATATTCTTTGCATTTAGTGATACGTTTGGATAAAAGATGACGAATTTACATATACAAAAATCTATTAAATAAAGAAAACAATTCAAAAAATTTATTTTTAAATTTCTTAAAATTTATATCTAAGAGATTCAACTTGTTGAAATATTAAATACAATTTAAATTAATTAAAATCGTTTCAATTGGGTATTTAAATTTAAATTTAAACAGGTTCAAATAAAAAATATACCAAGAGGAGATCAAACTCATTATTGGGTATAGGCACCAAGGAAATGATAATTTTTAATTTAATGGAATGGGATACTGAAAATCTAATTTAGTAACTTTACGCAAGACTCTGAAAGACTATAGAATAAGCACTTATATCATTAGATTATTTTAGTTGAACGGTTTGTACACATGTCTTCTACTCTTATGTTCTAGTGTTCGAATCTATGTGTTGGCTTTATCAAAATTGATCTAAGTTATAGCTCTAAAGGTGTATGAAACATATAAGCAAGTAAATTAATTGTATCTGCAACTCAAAATGCATGAAGTACTTGACGGTTTTCACTTTTTTCCATCTAGAATATACGACACCACAGTTAGAGAAACGCTACGAAACATTTTTAGAAAAACGATCGTTTCACAGCGTTCGTATTAGCAGATGTGAAATGCGTTAAACCGGTCAGCATTAACGCGTTTCACAACTATGGAAAAATGCGTTTTGAGAACGCGTTTTTTTCGCAGAAATTTACGCCATGGGTTATTTGAAACAGGTATATATGAGTCAGGAATAAAATTAATAGGTGATTTTATAATGATATATTCCGGACTTCCGAAAGTTAATAAAACAAAATCAGCACGTGATATAGCGATTTGTTTAAACAAACCAGCAACGAATACTTGGAAGTCATCAGGTTCAGAACGAGAGGCGATTAATGAAAGAATGATTAAGATCCAAATGTATTGTGCGCTAATAAATGTGACTTATATTGCTGTTTATGCTCCAATTAATCTATAGAACACATCTATGATCGATAAATGTGATCAATTTTGTTTGCATTTACAAGAGACGATTGATAATGTGTAAAGAACGATGTGATTATTTTAACCCGTTGGGAACTGACTTTTGTTTTTAGAAAAAAATTAGGTTTTCGCTTATAAAGTCACCTGACAGCTATTAAATATAATTTTTTCATTCAGAAACAAATCAAAAGACGCACTGTATTCTAAAACAGAAGAAATAAACAAATATTCAAGAAGTATATCAAGAAAATTTAAAAATATATAAGAAGAGAAGTTAGTACAAAAAGAAGCTAAAAATGTAATAAAGTATGAAATTCCCCAAAACAACCAACAATACAAAGACCTACATCACAATCTTTACACATATAGCGTGAATCAGTCCTCTTTCTAGGTCTTCAACTAGTGTGTGCACATACAACACATTTTCTCTGACGAGTTTGTCTGTTTGTTGTTTCGGGTACAAGAGATGGAAAGTGTCTACCAGTAAGTTTGGTTGGTTGATCAGTCAGTGCAGAACGACCTATGGTGGGTTTGGGAACAGTATAAGTTTGTAACACTTCACGAATAAGTTGTAACGATAATCCACAAATTTTCTTTTCTTTCCAGTATTGACTTTATCAAGCAAGTATGAATTGAAGACTGATAAATCAAGCATATGAAAAAATAATTTTCTGTACCATTTTACAGTTTTTCTTAAACACTCGACTAAACTAATTTGCATATCAGCTTTATCGATCGTGTAAATGTTAATATTATAATCAATTACTGAAACTGGTTTTTGAATTGTTGTATTATTTCTTTCGGTATATTTGATTTGGGGTTTATGAATAGTTGATAATATCATAACATCCCTTTTATCATGCCATTTCAAGGCTAGCAGGGTGTGGGTGTGCCGATGTTCTCTTACTCAACCTTCCTGGTAACACTCACACTCACACTCATCCACACCTACCACACCCACACCCATTCACACCCATCACACTCATACTCACACCCCCATTCACATCCATACACCCTTTTGTAGTCATTATTGAGAAGTAAAGCGATCTGGTATAAATCTGTGAAAAAGAAACAGTCATAAATCGATTCAGATTTATCTAATTAGCCTCTGGTCATCACAAACTTCTTCGATAAGAATAAAAAAGATTACTCCTTGCAGCTTTCAACATTTCTTGACATTACAGATTATTTTCTGTTTAATTGCATGCATTAGTAAGCACTCATTCGAAGATAAAATTGTTTTTTATAGGACTTAATTAAGGATGTGGGTGTGTGGGTGTGGGTGTGTATTTGGGTCTGTGTGTAAGTAAAGAGACGTATGACACCCATACCCACC